ACTCTGCTGACCACCGAGCAAGTCTCGTTCCAAGTTCGTCACGAGTGGCGTGCGCTTGGACTGCCGGGACAACTGAAAAATGGTAACTGCAAAGATAAAGCGATGATTGAGAGTTGGGTCAGCCCCTGGGCGGGCCCCCACTCAGGCCTAGGAGCATTGGTTCTTTGTGGCCTCTACACCAACCATCGCCCTTGACACGCTACAGCATGCCTGGAAAGACATGTTGCCCTCCTATACCGCACGAGATGAACGAGAACGAGCTGCAGAGCAGGCACGCAAGGATAAAGCAGCCAGACGCTCTGCTTTCTGGTCTTCGTTATGCTTCTGCAGGCGGCGCCCGAGCCGCCGGCAGGAATGACGCGATATCATGTTGATGTCTTCGTAAGCGATATGTTTCCCTTCGCTGGAGCACACCTCACGGTCGTGAATTTGTCAGGTCCTCCTGCCCCCTCTCTCCATTGCTTTGTTGTCGTCATCGTTCGTGACCGTACCATAGCCCAGGATGTTTTTCGGTCAAAGAGCAACGATTCTTGTGAGCATCGTATCTATCTGCAACAAATATGGCGCCTTTAGGGGCACGAATGCCGGCTGTCTGCTCGAGAAAGCATTTCTGTATAGCGTCGCCAGCAGCAGCCAAGATGGTACAGGTACTGCGACGTCGGGTTACTGGCGTTTGTGCTACGGCAAGCGTAACGGCGGCCATGGCTACACGAGTCAGGGTATCGCGCTTTGCGGCGCACTGGGGGCAGAGATCGTGTCAGTTTAGTTAGCCTCCGCTACTTTCTTTCTTGCAGAAAAGAAAAGAAAAGAAAAGAAAAACACAGTCAGTTGGCTTTTGGTCGTAACTTAAGTCAGCCTCACCTGGTGTGGGCCACAACCACGGCTAGGAGCGGCTTTTGACAACGGTTGCCAAACTTGGCCGTTCCGGAGTATGCCGTGATAGCCTGATCTCGCGATGTCCACTTATCCGGCTGAATTCTGTTACCACTCACGTTCTCTCCACTATATCCTCCCTGCATGGACTTCCTGCGGCTGTGCTCACGCTTGTGCACAGAAAATGCGTCTGCAGGCATGGGCATGTGATGTTCCTCTTCTTCACGCGGCAACACTTAATTTTATGGAGCGAGTGCGCTGAAGAGCTCCGGTGCTCTGTGCACCCGGCGAAACTTCTGCAAGTCTCTGCCCAACTCGCGCTATATCAGATTGCTGATCCACATATCACTGCAGGCGCGATGACCGCCGTGACTTCACGAGTATCGACCAACTCGTCTTTTTAGGCAGCCTTGACTGTAAAGAGTCGAAGTTGAAGCTGTGCGCGTATTTGTATGGCTGTGCGGCTGTGAAAGCCGTCGTCACAATCTCAGGGGACTTCATGCTATGATTTACGCAGACCTTCGAGTCAGAGTCTACTCTGGACGATGGCTCCGCTACGTAAGAGTGCGATGTCTGCATTGCACCTGTGGCTAATGTACGCGATATGACCCTGGACGAGTATCGGATGGGCCGCTCCTCCCGAGCATCTGTATATGTGACGTAACCTTAAGAAGGTTTGTCCCATGGATGCGCTGCGTATTCTTGTGCGTTCCCTGACCTGGGTACCGCCACTGTCAAATGAAGGCAGTATATCAATTTAGAGCCTCAGCTCATCCTTTCCCCGCTTCACAACTCGCTGCCCCCTCGCCTGTCTTGCCGCCATCCTAAGCTTACGGGTGTCGTTCTCACTCGTTCGCCTCTTTACCTTCTCCCAAGGCATTGACTTCGTCGCTACATATCACAGATGTCTTTGCCTCCGTCCGCCACCGTCGTAGTCCCACGTCCAGAAGTTGGGGAGGTTGCCTCTGGCACGATGCTTCGAGCCCGATTATCGTCATTCGCCAATGTCCTGCGCCGGCGTCGTACGCCGCACGCGGATCTATCGTCTAAGTTGGTGCGAGTGCCCTCAGATACTTCGACAGTATATCCCAGTAGGCTCAGAGGTGCCTCATACTCTCCGGCAGCCACGTTGACTTCTTATGCAGAGAAGCTCAGCTTTGACACTGATTCAGAGGATTATGGGGAGTTTGAAGACAGATCCCTCCGCCGCGTGCGCTTTACAGAGCAAGATCATCACTATGCGCCGCGGCAATCTGCCGAGGAGCTAGGCGAGCCAGAGCCGCTACTGGAATTCAATGCGGAGATCCCTGGGACGTTCGCCTCGTCGTCTTCAACTTTGCAGTCTTTGCTGCAGGCCGAACAACGGGACGAAGAACATGTCCCGCTTGGTCCTGGCGCGGGCACAGGGGGTGGCGCTCGTCGACTGTGTCATCCTGGGGCTCGTGTAAGCACGATGTCGAGCTAATTTGTTGTGTGTAATGGCTTACTTAGTCTTTATAGCTTCTTCCAGCTTGACAAACTCCGCGGACGCGTGCGCTGGCTGATCTGTGGGTGTGTGGATACACTCTCGTCGGTAAGCGGCTCACTTGCTCTGTCCTGCCACACAACTAATGCTCTACCTGTAGCTGCTGTAATGCGTCTGCACAGACTATGGACGGGTGCTGATACCAATTAATCGCCATACCCGATTCCTGGGCCTAACTTTGCTCGTCAAAGCCCAGCTGCCGAACCTTGGTTTAGTTATGAGCTCACCTGCACAAACACTGCCACCGTGGCACCTACAGACACATCTCGAGCCGATCTGAATATCGAGCACTCGCATCATCTCCCCGAGCCGCCGCCCGTTCTCCCGCCAACCAATTCTGGCCATGGAGCTCACACCAACGCTGCTCCCCGTCCGCTCAGCCATTGGTACGAAACATCCCAGTTTCCCGAGCAGATTCCTTGTCAGTTCGACATGGAAGACCCTGCGACTGAGAGAGGCTCTCCCTTTCTACCTCCCCTACCGATTCACGCGCTGAGTCTGGGCGATCTGATGTACCGCAATCAGACTCTCTCCATGCCGCAGCCGGTAGCCCCCGTTCTACAGCCGGACGAGCAGCCGTACCCGATCCCACTCACGTCGAACGGCGAGCCAGAGCCAGGCCTGAAAGATGCGCTGGACAATGTTTGGACGGCGCGCGCAGACAACGCCAGCCCGGCTTCTACAGCGTTGAGTTTTGACGCTGTTGCAACTTGCGACACGGACGTGTAAGTGCCTGGTTTTGAGCCTGAGGTGAGCTATCATCCGAATACTACTATGATGCGGATTTGCGACGCTTCATGCCAGGCAGCCCGTGCTGGCAACGTGACAGTGGGCTCGTACTTGCAGCTTCCACCTCACCTCCGTCCCGTCGTCCCAGATTTAGAGCAGCAACCCATAGGCGATAAGAAGCAGAAGAAAATGCTGCTAGCGAGGGTTAGGAATCTGAAAGCTGTTCGAAGGCCGTTTTGTGGGACCTCTGTGGCATCGGATAGCTGAAACAGTCAGCTTCTTTCATTACATTACGTCGAGATAGTATTGCGCAATGTACAGTATATACAGTTAACTCAGCAATTGAATCGCGGGATGAATGCAGCTAATATTTGCTGATCAAGATATGCCCGCTATCTCTCATCTTTTCGAACCCGTCTAAGTGGTACTTGTTGGTCGTATACGTCGTCATTCGCTCGACTTCGTAGATTAGGAGCTACAGCCTGTAGACGACGGCAGGGCCGAAGAAGATGCCGCTGGGGTTTGCGGTTCTGAAATGCATTCGGAATTCGCTCCGCGAGACAGGTGAGCACCTGTCTTACGTACTCCAACATATACCATGAATACCTCCATTGCTCGCAAAATCACCTATAAACGCAGGTAACACCAGCAGCGAGAGTGACAGTGACCCTTTCTCTTTGTCTTCGTAGATGATATGCGTAATCTTGCTGAAGTGTGCTTCCGAGTCGTGCTCACACTCTCAGGTCGAGGGCGTTCATCGCGCCCGGCAGTCTTCCCATGGTTCGTGCGCATATGTGCGACCGATAGGGATATGACTCATGCTGTGCGTCTCCGAGTCGCATTCATCGCTGCTCTTCACCACATTGCGTCGCCGGCTGTTGGAGCATCCACTGCAGGCACCACGCAGCAACGCCTTATATGCACGGTCACTCCACGTAGAGCCCCCTCGAGATGAGAAATCGGCCCTTGCGCGCGGGCGGGCCGCAATCATCCGGAAAGTCATGGCATGTGGCGGAACGAAGTAGACGACGAACAGATGTAGTTTATTTTTTCTGCGCTATGCGTTCGAAATGCTACAGCTAATTATGTACCGTGAACATATGCAAATTATATCAGGGAAGTGTCCGGAAGGGCTTCGGATCTACTTTCATTATTAACCCTGAGCGACTGTCTCTTCGGGGGCCGAAGCCACGATTTGGCGACGCATTAGGTAGAGCTTGTCGAGTAGGGGACTGCGGAACTGATGTGCCTTTGCGACGCGCTCGAGTGCGTCGATAAAGGATCCAAAGGCGTCTGGCGCATATCGGAAGAGAACGTCAGCTGTTGCATGGCTCTCGTCACCGTGTGGTTTGTGGTTCGTATCCTCGAGAACAGTAGAGAACAGGTCCTCCAGCCAAGGAATGATCGCGTCGTCTTGGTCGCGGTTCCGCCAACCATTTTGCTCCGCCAGTTGCATTGCTCCGATCATCTTTCGCAAGACGTCGGAGCAATCGCGCGAGAAGTTGACGGTATCTTGGGACGCGGAAGGCGAAAGCTTACGACCGATCTCTCTGATCCAATGACCTCCTGTCCAGACGAACTGACGATGCCACTCCTGCGCGTATTCGCCTACATCTGATGGCCACCCCTTCAGGAGCATCGTACTACGCCGGAGTGCGCCGAACGGCTCGAGAGCCGTATCCGGTCCAGCGGGCTCGGTTGGGATCCTATGCGCCACGAGAAGTACATCGACAAGGTATCCTGCCAGTTTACCATCGGTATCGCAGCCGTCAACTTGTAAGGCCTGTAGGAGGCGTAGAAGTGAGCTGGAAGAGCGCTCCAGCATGGCTAAGACGATTTGGTCGCTATCGTCGCCTAGCGCCTTATCCTGGATCAACTGCTTGGTCCACGTCTCGTGAAGGATGCATAAGGCCGCTCTGCAATGCACAGATGTTACTTGCTCGAGAGCGGATATCATGATCTGACAGAGCTTCTCGACGTCTTGAGGCGAATGGTGGTACATTTCCCTGAGCGCTTGGTTGACCGCCCGCGCGAAAATAGAGACATCCTCTTCTGACATCTCGGCGAAGTCGAGATCGACCCCAGAACACTGCGTGGCGAAGGCCAGCCATTTTCTAGGAGAGCTGGAGATATCTGTAATTAATGTATAGATATTTAGTTAACCGTCTGCTATCAAGCCGCTGCAGACATACCTGGGGATATTTGCTCCAGCTCGAGAGTGCACTGGGATGTTCGACGCATGGGGTACCAGGTCGCGACAAGCATCAAGAACAGCTGGGTACGTAGTGTGGGGAACGAGACGTCGAATTCTCGCTTGTGGGGATTCTGCCCAATTCCACTGAATATGTTTACGAGAACCTGAGCACAGTCTCGGCGACATGTGCGTCGCAGTGCTGACGGAGAATCCCAATGGAATGTTACTAGATTCAAGGCGCACAGGATCTCGTCTGCTCGTCGATGCAGTAGTTCGGCAACGGGATGCTTTGTGGGAAGGTCGAGAATGGTAGAGTGTAGCATCTGAGAAATTAGCCCTTGGAGGCTATAGATGAGGACCGAGTTGACTTGTCGTTGAGAGAGTGGCAATGCTTGGAAACTGTCAGACCACCACATGAGAATGCATGCTCAACATCAGTTGATGCAGCTAGCAATAGAGTGAGCAACAGAGCCATTGAATGCATTGAGATACATACCAAGTATAGATAAGAAGTTCAGAGCCATGCACACAAGCAGTTGGCTACTGCCATGACTGCGTCCCTAGCAAGCTTGAAGTGAGCAAGACCTTTCTTGCCTTTCTTGCCTTTCTTGTTGTACTTCGGCATGTCCAGCAACTGTACAACCACGGCACAGAGCTTGAGTGCACAACTGATAGCCTGTGCAAGCAAGTTCCAGTGTGTTGCAATGGCTTGAACTATTTGAATGTCAGGGATCTTCTCTTTTACGCAGCAGCTCTTCAAGTCAGTGTGGATGGTTGGAGAGTGGAAGATTCTCTTGGCGAACTTGACAATCTGCTGTAGATTGTTAGCAAAGTTGAGTAGTATATGCGATAACCCATAACATACCTTTGTCACCATGAAACGTGCAAACTGTTGCTCCTGTGAGGATAGCGTATGCTCACGTTGGACCTCTGCAATGATTGTTACAATCTCGTCCTCATTAAAAGCATCCACATCTGCATTTAGTTTGCTATTGTCCTTGTTCTTGCCTCGATCACCTTCAACATCAAACTCGAGCATGTCCTCGTCGATGTCTTGTCCTTCTTCTTCGAAAGCACGGAGCTCTGTGTCGTGGGCGTAGCCCCAGCCTCCTATTTTATTCCATTTTCTCCGATTTATCTCACGTTTATACGACCCTCCAAACGTTGTCAGCGCATAGGCGCCAGTTTACAAGTCCTAGCCGCGCGCTAACACCTTGAAAACGCATCACCGACGGGCACGCATCAGCGCATCAGACGCGCCTGCATCGCCACCGCCTCGTCGCCGCATCACGCTTCCTCGGTAACAGCCGCTCTCCGACCAGCAACAGACATCCGATCTCCGTCAATCCGACAACGTCATACAACATGACACACCGGTCCCCGTCTACCTCCGAGTCCGATCGGCAACGGACTTCCTATCCCCGTCGGCCCGACAACGTCATACGGTATGACACACCGGCCCTCGTTTCCCCGCCTAAGTCCCCTAGACACTAGCAGTCGCCGTAGCACCAGCCGCTTATGTAATGCCTGGTCCGTGCGCACTTTGACTAGTATATAAGGACCCCCTTCATCGCTACCTAGCCCCATCTCAACCTCTTGGTTTATTGGGCTAGGTAAGCCTTCGTTTGTATTGTAGTACAGTTGCTAATATAAACTTGGTTTATTGGGCTAGCTGAATAAGCTAACACACTAGTCGCCAGACCTCGTCGGCG